CATGAGTCGAACTCAAACCCTATCTAGGATCGAGTCGCGAATAAGGCTAAGAGCCGTGTATTGCATGAGCCTCCAAATCCACTTGAGGAGGGTACAATATACCATCATTGTACATAGTTGTTGTCAAGTTGGTAAGATCTTTCTGCAAGGCTTCTTTAATATACCAATCACGTGGCCTAACAGCTCTGCCAGTGATGTGACTGGTGTTTCGGTCACACTTGAGGTTGTGATCGCTTACATGTAGTAAATACTTCTTGTGAGTAAGGGATGATCTCTGCCTGGAGACTCCACCCGTGGCATCATCTTCTCCATATCTATTTTCAATCTCGACTGCATTGGTTCCTCGCCGACGCCTAAGCAAGGGAGGACCTTCATCGGAATGATACTTATTACTGGCTCTGTAGCTCATTTCTCTGGGCTGCAAAGGATCACTCAAGCAGCCTTTCTTGATATGATCCATGAGATTTTGTACAGCAGCCTCTGCCCCGTATTGGTGATTTCTGATCGCTTTCTTAAAGAAAGGCCTGTAGCCTTCCCCATTGAGCTGTGCTTGGAGTTTTTGTTTCGTGTCTAGGTCCTTGGTACCTTGATATAGATCCCAGACATCAGAAGCCATCTTGGAGGTGTTGCTTGAAATGTAGTTGTAGATTGCATCTCTGTATCTTGAAAGCTTAGACATTGCCTCTTGTGCTGTTTCTCTATTGCGGTATTTCTTTCCATCAGGATTGAAAGTTCTGAAGTGTTCCAGAGCCGTTGATGTTGAGTCAAACTCCCATTTTAAGATGGCATTCCAGAGTCCCCTGACAAAGGCATCATGAAGGGGATGGTCTGCCCCTGTAGTTTCACGCTTGACAACATCAACAGCATGCCAAACATCCTTGAGGAAGGCTCTCTTGCATTTGGGAAAGATTCTAGGCAGGAAATGATCTGCTGTATCAGAGTTGTTGCAGCACAAGTCATCATAGCCAGCAATGACCTTGTCAATGGCAGATTGACCTCCTAGTCTCTCATATCTCTGCCTTAAGAAAAACAGAAGACGTTCCTTTACCGTGTGATTCTCTGAGTCTGCAAATGCATAGATGAGGACATGATTGTATTCACCAAGAACCTTTACCATGACATTGTTGGCAGATTCAGCATCTGGAACCTCCATTGTCTTCTTCATGATCCTATAGGTTCCATCGACTCTAACAATACGGCCACCATCTCTGCTTAAGAGATCTCTAAGCAGGAAAGGTTCAACTCGGTCATATATAGCTCTTCAAACATTTTGGTGACTGTTGGACGTGTTGGCATTTTGAAGTAACCGGAGAATGACTTTTCAGCGTTAAATGGTGGCCACTTTTGTGATTTTTTGTTGGCATACTCCTCAGGAGTCATGGATTTTGGTAGCTCTGGGGGAAACAAGTCAGCCTCTTCCTCTGTGAAGTTGCGGTACATTGCAGTGGCTTCATTGGCAAGATTTGCAATGGAGTTTGCTAGCCTGCGTGACATATCCTCAAAGGAACCCTTGTAAAAGAGGAGCTGGTCACAGAAACCAGGCGATAGCATTTGATTTGTAGTTCTGTCAACAAAAACAGAGACATAGTCCTGATACTTCCTTTTCACTGCCTTTGGGAATTGTTGCCATAATTTGCCATCATAAGCCGTGAAAGTTTTGTTGCATTTGTTGTTCGTGGCATCAATGAAGGTGCACTTGTAGGTTGCTCCAATAATGATATCATGGCTTAGTTTTGTATTGATAACCCTCTGGCAGTTCTTTCTTGCTGAGGTCCAGCCAGTGATCCTCATTCCCACATTGGTTTGGCAATTTGGGCAAGGAGACATGACACCACCTTCTTCTTTAATCCTGTATGAACCATCCAGTCTGAGGAGTTCTCTGTTATAGAGCTCAGGAGCAATCACAATAATCTTCAATTCTGCAGGAACATAGAACTGATTCCTTGCAGCTTTCATGGTGTATTGATCCCAGAATTTGCTGATCCTGCAATCCCTGGCTCTCTCACATGGATGAGAGATAAAGTGTGGATTGTCTGGAAGGACCTTTCTCAATTCAGATGCACTGCGAATATGAGTCCGTGCTTTCTTTGATTGCTTCTTGTCTTGGTCATACTGCTAACGTGAGGAAATACTACTTGAATAGAGGGATCTTGTAGAGGTAGCTACCACCCAACGAGATCAACTGCAACTATTCAAGACGAGTGCAAAGTAAATGCAAAGTTCGCTTCTTAGTAATTCATAATCTGTGTTGTGAGCTTTGATTGATGCAATCAGTAAAGCTAGTTCGTAGCGAGTTAGATCAATGCATCGTGGTAGTTGATCTTGATTCATACGGAAGTCAACGTGGTATCTGCGGGAAACGGTTCGTTGGCAGGATGCTTTACTCCTGTCGAATACTCCAATTTACCGTGTCCTTTTGGTTTACGTTGAGAACGTGTTCTTGCCAGCGTTCTCTGTTCCATCGTGTTTGACCCATAAAGCAATGACTCAATCTTACTCACGGATACTTTGAGTCGTGTGAGGAACTGTAATGCTTTAACTCCCCTCAGTGGCCACTGTCGACTCTGAGTGTTTTTCTTACCGCAATCCTTGGTATCTCCTGTCCAAAACAGTAGTGCATTCAGCATAGGCCTTACCGATGTATAGTCCCAGTGTTTGCCGAGGATATCTGCAGGGTTAGTAGATCCAGGGACATGATGAAATCTCAAGATACTTGCAGCAACAGCTTTCCTAGTACGGTGGTAGGAAAGCGCATTGTGTCTTTTGAGAATCTTTGAGTGTGGCATCGAGGCGGGTTTGACTACCGTCTCGTTGTCTCCGAACATCATGGTGGGTGTGTCGACCAGTACTCCTAGGTACCTTAATGTGCTTCGTAGGTCAATGATCTTCTCAGTGGCGGTACGGGCTGCAACGTATTCGGATCCGAACGTTGCGGTGTCGACTGTTGACTGTAGCTTGCTGGAACAGATGATAGGGATCTTGTTCGCTGGGTGCAGGACTCCGGTAACTGAACGTCCACTGATGAGATCGTGGTAGAGGTTCGAATCCACATATGTGGTGAGAATGACCCGTTTGCCTCGAGGTACCGGTTCGTTGTGCGGCTGAACTTCTTTGGCACCCACGCGCACCTACGCCTAAAAGCTAGTGTAAAAGTATCCTTTGGAGTGTTTTGAGTTTGAGAGAAATGAAAGTTATGAGAGAGATTAGAAAAAGCTATGAAAACTACTCAACGAGAGAGATCATCATCAGAGAATCGTAGATCTGGCTTCCCCCGGGAGACTATAAAGTGTGATCAAGTAAGGTTGTGTAGTAATCCTACGTCTCTCCACGATCCTAAAACGGACAGCGTGTAAGGTTTGTCTATCCTGGGTCTAGTAGCGTGGAAGTATGCCACGCTGGCTAAATATCTAGAGGTATGTTTCATCATCACCTAGAATGACTAGCGCGGTCATTGGAAACCCTGTCTCAAATGACTATTCACGAAGAGACTCGGTCATGAGTCGAACTCAAAACCCTATCTAAGGATCGAGTCGCGAATAAGGCTAAGAGCCGTGTATTGCATTCGCACCCCTGACAAGGGTCACAGAAGGCGCGAACACAGCAGTCCGGACAGAGAACAATTATGAATTATAAAGAAGGCAAACTCTCATGAGATTTGGATGTAGACATGCTCGTCGCACGATGGACATCCTACAAGGGGATCAGGCCCTGTATGGGTGTATATACCTAATGTTCCAAGTCTGGTAGACTGGTGCGCTATTGGCGGTAGCAATGTTGGAGCCGTACAAGTGCATTGTCATTGACCTCGGTCCTTATTGTAAGGACCTTTGTATTTTGGCTGACCGTACTTGTGTTGCTGATACTGTTGAATCATCACAGTATCGTTGACATTGTATTTGATGAGGGACACGCGTTGCAAGTTTTCCCTACCGTTGTTTTGTTGGATTAGTCGTTGGCGACGTTCCTTAATGTACTTCCGGTTTGCCTTCGAACCGGACGTTGTTGATCGCGTCACGATTGAACACGAGCTGGTGAGGGAGCCGTTGCACGCAGGGTGTATAGGAACCGTGGCATCTCATCTGGCAAAGCGAACCGCCCGTGCAGGACTCCACTTCCAGGACATTCCAACCGTAAGGATCATACATGGCACTTGATGTTTCGAACAGCGATCAAGTTACATATGGTTTGATGAGCACACAGAAATTAGCTTCGACCCATCTGCACGACAAGTTGGTCGCATATATAGTGGATAAGGCGGTTACGCGTGGTGATGAAATTGCGACGAAGTCCATATTCATCCGGGAGTGTCTTTTCGACCTCTGCGCGGAACTCACGTCCTCTATCCAGGATAACCTCAGCAGGCCCATGGATACCGAGTAGCCACGTTTTTCTAGTACGATGGCTACTTCGTCTGCTGCTTGGGAGCAGATCTCTGCAATCTCGAAACATCCGGTTACGGGATCATCATTGTCAAGCAATGAAATTGACAGGGATGCAGGATTTCTTTTTCTTGGGATCCTCGATGTTGTAAGGGCCTATTAGTTCAATACATAGTCTTTCCCAAGGGGTCTCCTCGCAAGTCTTTGGAGGCTTCATTCCCAGCTTACGCGTCTTGGGTTTGGTTCATCTGGCAGCTTTGCCAACGCTGACATACGGCCCTGCACAGTCCTGCGCAGCCCCTTTCCAGGTGTAGTGTTGGCTGATGGTTAGTTATGTGCGAGTCTCGCAAGGATGCATCAGCACACCAAGGTACCATTCAACTAGTTTCTTCTGCATAGTTTTTAGGTACGACGATTTTCTCGTCCTTAACTACTAAATCGTAGAACTTATCCCCTCTGGGGAAAGATTGCTTCTTGTAGTCTTTTGGCTTGTCCCTGATGTGTTTCTTGATATCGTTGTAGTCTTTCTGACGATGTTCGATCTCGGGAAACGAGAGAGGGAACTCAATAGGGAAGTCCTCTCGTCTGCAGCCATGAATTCAGCGATCTCGCTGGCGTCCTTTTGTTCTGAAGAACCGTCGTGTTTGGAGATGTTAAGTCCGACAACGCATCAGCGACGATGTTCTGTTCGCCCTGTATGTACCGTAGTTCAGGGCCGTAATCTTCCAGAATAAGGCGCCATCGAATTACGCGATCGGTATTGCAATTCTTACATGTCAAATTCTTGTGGTCCGTACGTACAACGATCTTCTGTCCTAGAAAAATGTTACGGAACTCTTTCAGAGTTTCTACGATACTGAGAAATTCCT